AGCCTATACCATTACCACCCTTGATACTACCCCACCTACCACTGAGCCTAGCACTTACCGTCAAGCCTCTGGTAATAGTTTTTGGTGTCAGGCTATGGATGAGGAGTTTATTGCTTTGAATGAGCAACGTACATGGGACTTGGTTCCACCACCCAAGAACCGCACTCCGATTGGTTGCAAATGGGTGTATCGCATTAAACGGAATGCTGATGGATCTGTTTCAAGGTACAAGGCTCGTCTTGTCGCAAAAGGTTATCATCAGGAGTATGACATTGATTACAAGGAGACATTCAGTCCTGTGGTCAAGCAACAAACAGTGCGCCTGGTCCTCTCTTTAGCACTCAACCGTGATTGGCCTCTTCATCAACTAGATGTTAGCAATGCCTTTCTTCACGGTACAGTGGACAAGGAAATTTATATGGAGCAGCCCCCGGGGTACATAAATCCCACTCATCCTCACTATGTTTGCAAGCTCCGCAAATCACTATATGGTCTCAAACAGGCACCCCGTGCATGGTACACACGCCTCTCCTCTTTTTTGCAGGGCCTTGGATTCAAGTGCTGCATTCATGATACCAGCTTGTTCACCAGACACTGCTCTCGTGGGACTATTGTTGTCCTTGTCTATGTTGATGATATTGTTCTCACTGGCAGCTCTTCTACTCTCATCTCAGAAGTTACTCAGGCCATGCACCGTGACTTCAAGCTCAAAGAACTTGGACCTCTTCATTACTTCCTTGGCATTGAGGTTCAGCGCACGCAAGATTCTATACTTCTCCATCAATCCAAATATGCCCGTGATCTTCTACGCCGAGCTGGGATGTCCGACTGTCATCCGGCTATTACTCTTATGGCTACGAGACCTATCACTAAGCCTTCGTTGCCTTTCAAGGATATTTCTCATTTTCGGAGCATTGTTGGCGGTTTACATTACTGGCTGTCACTCGTCCAGACATTCAGTATGCTGTTAATCGAGTGTCTCAGACTATGCACAACTCCACTGAGCAGGACTATCATGCCTTGCAACACGTTCTGCGCTATCTCAAAGGCACTTTGAATCATGGTCTTCTTTTTCGCAAGGGGGGATTCGACCTATCTGTCTACTCTGACTCTGACTGGGCCAATGATAAAGATGATCGCAAGTCTACCACGGGCTACATACTCCTACTCGGTCCTAATATCATCTCTTGGTGCACGAAAAAGCAGACTTGTGTTTCTAGATCATCCACCGAAGCTGAATATCGAGCTATGGCTGCAGGGGTTGCAGAAGCTATGTGGCTTCGATATATCACTGATGCACTGGGTATTCCTCCGTCCAAACCGAAGTTATACTGTGACAATGAGTCGACTATTTGTGTCACCAAAAATCCGGTTCTTCATGATCGCATGAAGCGTGTGGGCACAGACTGTCACTTTGTACGAGATGAGGTTATGGCAGGCACTATGACTCCACATCATGTTTCCTCCTCAGAGCAGCTAGCAGACATTCTTACCAAACCGCTTCCGCCAGTTCCTTTTGAGTACTTATGTTCCAAGCTACCCCTCGTCTCCGTTGATCAGCTTGCGGGATGATATTAGGAAGTATAATTAAATTATCATACTTCTTTCCTTTCCTACTATGATTATTCTTTCCTTTCCTACTTGTACTTTGATTACTCTTGTATCCCCTATATATAGGCCATATCTCTCAATATTCAATAAGACAAGTTATTATCAAATTGTATCAATTATTATTATTATTATTATTATTATTATTATTATTATTATCATGAAGAGGAAACTAAATACAGTAAATAAAACGTCTTAATCTGGACGGACGTTATGCTTTTTTATGTATTGCGTCATTGCATTCGATCTCCCTCCCTCCCTATCTTGCTACTAGCTGCTAGATATACTACTCCCTCCTCTCTTGAAAATACAGCTCATTTTGATCAAGTATCAAAATAAAAGAAGTGTTAAATTATACTCCCTCCGTCCCAAAAAGAATGTTACATTTTATTTTTTTGTACATCACAAAAAGCACTGTTACTCACATCTAAAAATTCTAAAATTTACCATATTTACTCTTTATTATAAGATGAAATTGTTTTGAAAGTTTTTTTGGCATTTGAGACGATATAAAAGTGTTTTAAGGGATGCGCAAAAAACGAAACGTAACATTCTTTTTGGGACGGAAGAAGTAGTTGATTTTCAATTTTATCCTTGATATGATGGATAAAAGTAAGATGTGATGAATAGATTATTAGGGTAAGAAAAAGTATGAGTAAAAGGCGTTCCCATTGACTTTTAAAAAATTTAAGAGATGAATAATTTTGTGTCAATTTTTCAAAAATATCTTTGATGTGATGGGTAAATGTAGGATTGAATGAGTAGACTATTAAGTAGGTTAAGAATTGGTTAGGGTAAAAAGGGATTTTCAATAGAAAATGAAAGGATTTTGTGGGACAAGAAAAAAGAAAGAGAAATGAGTTTTTTAGACGGAGAAAGTAATAATAATACTCCCTCCATAAACAAAGTTTTCGTTGCGCGTTATGATGTTTCACTGAAGTTAAATACTTACTTCGTTAGATGTTCTCGTTTTGAGGTTGATTTGGAATTTGAGGTTCATTGTTGAAGGGAAATATTTTTAAGAAAAATTTTGATTTTATTCTTCTAAGTTTGATAATATTTGGTTTGAAAATATTTTAGTTTATTGCACAAGTTTCATGCAATTCAATAATGATTATGAACAAGAAAGTATTTGAGTTTATTGCACAAGAAATAGAAAATAATAAGAGATAAATAATAATTAATGCGAAGCAATAATCATAAGTAATCCAATTGATGTGATGAGTAAAAGTAAGATGTGAATGTAATGAATATACCATTTCAAACAAATATGATGTGATATGTAGTATAAAAATAATAATCGTAATAGTAATAATTTTTTAATACAAAGTAGATGCATTTTGATGGAAGAGAAAAAAATGAATGAGGAAGTCACGAGAGCATATGTTTTGTGTTTGTTGTTGTGAAGGAATTTGGTTTATTAGGTCCTTAATCGATTTGATTTTGCAATTTTTGCATCAATTCTTATTATTCAATCCAACAATTTGAGGCGAATTTCTTTTTCAACGAACCTCATCAAATTCCAAAATTATTGCTCTGGTGCTCCGTTCGTAAAATTGACGGTTCCTACCCCCTAACCCTCCAGGTAGGGATGTTCATCGGTCTAAAACCGGACCGGACCGGAGACCGATTTACACTAAAACTCAGACCGAAAACCGGACCTAAATGTATTCTGTCTTGGACCGAACCTATCCAGACCGAAATGACAACAGAACCCAAGCTTCCAAAATTCTCCGTAGAGTTTAGATTTCAATTTGAGTGAAATGATGTAATATCATGAGTTTCACAATCCAAAATCCAATTTTGGTTTGTATACTAGTTTTTACATTTTAAAATTTTGAGATATGAATAAAAAAAATTTGGGGATGGATAAATTTTAAATAAAAGTGAAATTATTTTGGAAAGATATCAAAAAGGGATTACCATATGACTATAAATCTATAATCCACCCAATAGTTTGCCGCTGCTCTGTTATTTGCCGGCATCGGCGCGTTGAAGAGATAGGCGATGAGACGATGCTCAACTGCTCGTTGGCGTCTAAAGCCTGCGCCATGGTGGGAGAGTGATGTGGTTGCGCTCTGACTGTGAATCCGACGATTGTGGGAAGAAGATGACGGATTGACGGAAGGGGAGATGGAGCTAATCTTGAAAAAGGAAAAAAAATAAATATGGAGAGAGAGAGAGATGATATTAGATCTATAGACTACAGAGGAAAAGTAGTAAAGGAAGGAGAATAAACCAGGCCCGTCCTGAAAATGTCCAGTCAAAAATAAAAGTATAGAGTAAATGGACAATTTCGGTTTTCTCGGTCTGGACCGAATGACAATAGGGTTTGGACCGGATCGGACCGAAACCCGAAATTTTTAAAAAGCAGGACCGAAGACCGACCCGAAATCTATTCGGTCCGGGTTCGGTCTAGACCTATCGATCCGGTTCGGTCGGGTTTTTCGATCTGGACCTAAACATGAACAACCCTACCCCCAGGTAAACCCCCCAACCCGCCCCGACCCGAACACCCCCCCTACCCCGTCAATTACACTCCACAAGTTGATTTTGACTTTGGAGTCAAAATAACCACCCATTATTATTATTATTATTTTCATTATTATTATTATTATTATTTTCATCATCATCATCATCATCATCATTATTATTATTATAATTTTCATTATTATTATTATTATTAGTATTATTATTATTATTATTATCAGGAGGAAATTAAATACAGCAAATAAAACGCCTTAATCTGGACGGACATTATGCTTTTTTATGTATTGCGTCATTGCATTCGATCTCCCTCCCCTCCTATATTGCTACTAGCTGCTCGTATGAGCTCATTTTGACCGAGTACCAAAATTAAAAAAAAGTACTCAGTATTAAATTATAGTTGACTTCCAATTTTATTATTGATAAATAGGTAAAACAAAGATGTGATGAATAGATTATTAGAGTAAGAAAAAGTATGACTAAAAATGATTTTTAATAGAAAGTGGAAATGTTTAGACTGAAAAGAAAAAAAATGAAAAAGGAAGTATTTTCCCAAACAGAGAGACTACTCTCTCTCTCTCTGTATATATATATATAGTGTAATTAAGGAATTATATTACAATAACCAAATCAAATTAATTACCGATCGAACTTAATTGAATTGGTTAAAGTAAAAGAGAAATAAGCGCTCCTGTGATGGCGAAAATGGAAGTAGAAGTGGTCAAGATCATCTTGCTCGCAAAGCAGCAGCTGCCTGAAGGTATATATATATATATATATATATATATATATATATATATATATATATATATATATATATATATATATATATATATATATACACACACACACACACACACATACATACATACATATATATATATAAAGCACATTCCTTTCATTATTTATTTAACTCATGCATGGTTAGTTAGTGACATTACACAGTTCGGGGGGTTTTTTTTTCTTACCATGAACGAAATATATTGAAATTGAACTTATATGAAGTTCTTTTTTTTCATTATCTAAATTAAAGTTGTTTTGGAATAAAAACACTCAATAAGCTAGCCAGTTCTAAACTATTCGCATACTCTGATTATACCTAGCTGTATTTTGACCCTTTTTTTCCTTGGAATGGAAATTAATTAAACTTGAAGGTTATCCGACTACCGAATCTCCATTGGAGATAGAGAATTACCAGAAGTCTCAGGGAAGCATCATGCCAAAGGGGACAGATTGGTAAATAATACTCCCTCCGTTCTCAAAAACACTTCATCTTTCATTTTTTTTCACTTCCAACAAAACACTTCCACTTTCTATTAAAAAACCACTTTTACCCTTACTTTTTCATACCCTACCTATCACATCATACTTTTTTTCTAATCATCCATCCATCACATCAAGGACAAAATTAGAAGTCAACTATAATTTAACACTTTCTTATTTTGGCTCCAAGTCAAAGTAGGAAAATTTTTTGCAAACGGAGGGAGTATTTCCTCCACCTCACAAAGACGTTTCCATTGACTTTTAAAAAATTTAAGAGATGAATAATTTTGTGTTGAATTTTCAAAAAAAACTTTTAATGTGAATGTAAAGGTAGGTTGTATTGGATAGATTATTAGTAAAAAGATATGATGTATTATGTAAGATAAGAATTAGTAGATCGGGTGGAGCTTACAGTGTTGGTGTGGGCTGGGTTAATGGTTAGGCTGATGCTGGTAGATCGGGTTGTCGTGCGGCTGATTGTGATGTTGGATATGGGGCGATCGCGAGCAGGCGGTGTTTGTGTGGCCATTTCCCTCCCAAAGTCAATACCCATTAAAAATGACCAAATAAAAATCTAATACTCCCTCCGTCCCAAATTATTTGCCACATTTGCTTTTTCAACAGTCGCGGGAACTTTTGTTTATTTCTACGTTTTTATTGGTTATTTGATAAAATAAAATATTCTTGACACCTCTTATTTTGAAGAACTTTTCATGTAGTTTTTTTATATTTAATTTTTATTTTTTATTTTTTACCAATATGTAAATAAAATGAATTGAAAAAACTTGATATTTTACTTCGGTAATAGAAATATGACAAATAATTTGGGACGGAAGGAGTAAGAACTTTATTCCCCGACGGAGGAAGTAATAATACTAGTCCCTCCGTCTATAGATTGTCGCCCTCTTCATCTTTTTTGAATTGATTTTATTTAAGAATTTGTAAAAATAAAAACTATTCCCTCTGTTTTTTAAAACGCTCCTCTTTCATATTTTTCTGTTGCATCAAAACACTTCAACTTTCTATTTAAAAAAATCACTTTTTTCTCTACTTTTCTTTTTCTTTTTTTGAACTGAAAACCTCAATAATATAAACACTCAAACAAAATATGCAACTGACTTTTTCAACACATAAAATCACATATCAAAGCAAAATTGGAAAGAAAATCACAAATGCTCGCTCCTTATTTTGGTCTAAAGTCAAAATAGGGATGATTTATAAAAAAGGAGGGAATACAACTTAATTACTAATTAAAAAACAACATCAAAAGTTATTCTCCCCCTATATATCCTTAAAATTTTCCTCCATTTTTTCTTTGTCCCAAAAAATATCTCTTTTGCACGGAGTATTAAAAAACAAGTTTAACTATTACACCCTTTGCCCTAAAATATTTGTTCACTTTTGACTTTTTTAGGTCAAAATTGATAAATTTTGACCCTAAATAAAATAAAATTGATATTAGATATTGATGCAAAAATAGTTTTATTATATTTATTATATAAAATATTTTCAAAATATTATTTTATCAAAATATAAATTATTTTCAAAACATTATTTATCTTAAATATTTTTTTTTGAAGGAAAAAATCACATTAATTAAAGTGTGAAACAATAAAGTCTGGAGGAACATATTCCCAAACCCCACGTTGAGCAACCGCTCGACAGGCTAACACATGAGCAATACCATTCAAATCTCGATAAACATGAGAGATACAAATTGAACGGAAAGAAGATAAAAAAAACCTACACTCCTCAATAATCAAACCAAAGTACGAGCGAGAATCGGTGACGTGGTTGATGGCATTCACCACCATCCAGCTATCAGAAAAAAGCTGCACCTCCAAGCATGCCTCTCTCTTTAACCAAGCCAAAGCCTCTCTAACCGCTATTGCTTCTGCTAGAAGGGGATCTTGGGAACACGGAATAGTACCGTTTAATGCTTTCACAAACCTACCACCTGGATCAAGAAGAACAGCACCGAATCCTACCTCTCCGACCTGAGAAAACAAAGCGGCATCAACAAAGCAATGTTGCACCTGCCCTGAACTTTGCTGCCCAAGAATAGAACAAGACGGCGGAGTCAATTGCTGCCCCAAACGGCTGTCCGGCCAACGTTCAACCAATGACTTAATCAACCGAATAGTTACCGCTAGGGGTGGACACGGTACCGGTACGGTACCGTGACCGGAAACGGTACCGCCGGTACCGGTACCATTACCGTCGGCCGGGACGGTCCACCGGTTCCGGGAACCGGAACCGGTACCGCCGGTGCCGGTACCGTAATTAAATTTTTTTTTATTTCATTCTTTCCTTTATTAATTTCATTTTTAGAGTTTTTTATTTCATCCTTTCTTTTAACAATTACACATTTACAATTCTACACTTTAAAAATTTAATAAAAAAGCAAAAAAAAAAATATGGGTGGCCGAAACGGTACCGGAACCGGAACCGGTACCGGCCGATTCGGTACCGGTACCGGTACCGGTACCAAGGGGTGGCGGTTCCGGAACCGGAACCGTCCCGGAACCGTACCGTGTCCACCCCTAGTTACCGCCGGCAGCGAAACCCTTCCATCCCAAACTGCTGCATTACGAGTCTTCCACAAAGCCCAAACTGCATATGCAATAACTTTAAGCTCTCCCATTGACCTTGAACCTATAAGCCCATCAAAAAAATGTATAAAAGAACCTGCGGCTACTGTTGAAACCTGAACTCCAACCCCTTCCCAAATAGCCGAAGCATAGGAACATAAGACAAAAATGTGATCAGTTGTTTCCCCCTCTTCCCCACATATTGGGCATAAGTTGTCCAGTTCCATCCCTTTGGTATTGAGGGAAGAGATAGTTGGTAAAATACCCCGAAGAGCCCGCCAAATAACCACTTTTACCTTAGTTTCTACCGGAATGCGCCAAAGCTTATTCCAGGATGAAAAACCAGAAGACTCAGCAACAACCTCTCCTTGAAGCAAACGATAGCCATCTTTAACAGAGTAGTGTCCATGAGGAAACCTTGACCAGAACCACAGATCCTCACGAGAAGGGCATGAAGGCACACGCAGGATCTCCATAACATCTCTAGCATTGAAGTAGGAATGTAACAGCGACTCGTTCCAGCCTCCAGTAACGGGATCCCTAAGAAAATCCACTGGTAAGTTAGGCATAAACTGCTGGTCGGTCATAATGGTTGGGTTGTCTGGGTCCAAGAGCCAAGGGGACCCCCACACAAGAGTATTTCTACCATTCCCCACCCTACGACGCACGCCTTGTCTGATCAAAGGTTGTGCCTTGAGAATACTACGCCAACAAAAGCTTGGAGTACCCCCCAAAGTCGCTTCAAGAAAAGAGGTTTTCGGGAAGTACCTTACTTTGAACACACGAGAAACGAGCGCATCAGGTTGGGTAAGAAGCCTCCACCCTTGCTTCCCCAGCATTGCCACGTTGAAACTATGAAGTTGCTTAAAACCCATGCCTCCAAATTTCTTTGGCACTGATAGACGGTTCCACGACATCCACCTAATGCCGGTAGAATTAGAGCCCTTGCTTGTCCACCAAAAGAAATTCATCATCCGTTCAATCTTCTCACAAAGCCCCTGTGGTAACAAAAAAAACGCTCATGGCATATTGAGGCATAGCCTGTGCCACCGTTTTTAACAAGATCTCTTTGCCTGCCCTGGAAAGTAATTTCTTTCCCCAACCTGAAAATCGCTCCCGAATTTTATCCACCACATAAGCAAAAACAGTATTTTTATCTTTACCCAAAAAGGACGGAAGACCCAGGTAGTTACCAAAATTATCCATCTCCGAAACCCCAAAAAAAGAAGAGAGCATCTCCCTGATTTCCAGCTGGGTGTTAAGACTAAAACAGATACCGGATTTACTAAAATTGATAGACTGACCCGAAATTCTTTCGTATTCTGCAAGGCAATGTTTAACTTCCCCCACCTCTTCTAAAGTAGCTCTTAAAAATAGAAGACTGTCATCGGCAAAAAATAGATGGGAAATAGAAGGAGCTCCTCTGGCCACTCGAACTCCATGGATACGCCCACTCCTTTCTGCTTCCTGTAAAAGCAATGACAGGCCCTCCGCACAAAGAATAAAAAGATAAGGGCTAAGGGGATCCCCTTGCCTAAGGCCTCGAGAAGGAATAATATAGTCAGAAAGTTCACCATTAATAAGAATTCGGTAACGCACCGTGGTGACGCAGAGCATAATAAGTCGAATCCACCCTTCGGCAAAGCCCAGACTCTCCATCATCCGTCGGAGGAAATTCCACTCCATACGATCATAGGCCTTGGTCATATCAAGTTTTAGGCCAACCCAACCTGTTTGACCAACTTGCTTTCTCCTTAGATAGTGCCCCAATTCAGCCGCCAGCAAGATATTATCAGAAATAAGCCTCCCGGGGAGGAAAGCTAATTGTGTTTCTGAAATGATTTTCTGTAACAGAGGCTTTAAACGGTTAGCAAGAACCTTGGCCATGATCTTGTAGGTGATATTGCATAAGGCAATGGGTCTCAAATCAGCAACTACCTTAGGAGCGCTCTTCTTAGGAATTAAAACTAATGTTGTGTCATCATACTTAAATATTTTATTTAATTATAGAACAAATGTTAAAAACGATTGACTTAAAAAAGTCAAAACTAGACAAATACTCTTGGATGGAGGTAGTACTATTTTTTGTGATATATCACATCATCATACTTATTCACTACTAATCTACCTATCGCATTCTTACTGTATAATTTTTTTGGTAGATAAAACAACCATGCTAGGAGCACATCAAAAAGTGTGCCTCAAGTTGTACTCTAAAGAAATGCACCAATATTTTAACGGTTCACACTGGAAATGTTGGTGTACATATAGCTTAATTCGATGCATGCCTTTAAAATACAAATGTTGGTGTACATATAGCTTAATTCTTTTATCATAAAATGTGCACTTGGAAAGACATCTGCGCCACCATCTATCACTTTATCGGAAAAATTGGTGAGCGCTGCTGCTTCTGCTTTTTATAAGTGAATGGATGAAGTTCAAACACTAAGTTGTTGGTGATGTCCACTTGGATGAAGTACCTATAACATATCGGGGTATAGGATGTTTCCCCTCTGTCTACATGAATACTCATTTTTGAGTAACTGAATATTCATTTTTGAATAATTAGATACTCAATTTTGTATAATTAAATATATACTCATTTTCAAACATCTATGATTAGAAAAATGAGTATCAGTTATTTGAATATGAATATCCAGTTGATCGACAATGAGTATCCAATTATTCGTAAAGGAGTACTCGCCGTAGATGTACGGAAAACATCATATAACTGATTGTACCTTATATATATAATTATATATTGCATGTGTTTTATTGTTTCGTTTATTTGTGTGATTACATTATATCATCATGGATGTACTCCGGATTACTTAATTATTACGGTATATTGTTCATCTACAAGTTGTTTATGATTCTCTCATCCCATAGCGTTCATCAAGAATTAATCCGTACTACTATTCGTTATTAAGATTTGCGAAAATTTATTTTTATATATGTATTTTGTTTGGTTATTTAATAAAATAAAGTATTTTTATCGCCTCTTATTTTATGGAACTATTAACGTAGTTTCTAGATATGTAAGTTGTATTTTAAATTTTTATACTAACCTTCAAATAAAATAAATGTAAAAAGTTAAAAATTTGGTTTCGTTTTACGTTAAATGTAAAACATTTTGAAACGGGAGAAGTATGTAATCGTTTGGCAATATATAGAGGCTTAAGGACTAAAATAGGAGCACAACATTGATTAAATTTCAAAATAAGAGTTGAAAGATATAAAACCTTCAAAATAGGAGTTAATAACAATTCTCGCATGTGCCGCTCCTTTAATTTTGCTCATCCGATGTCTTGCTCTGCCGCCAATCCAGTCCCCACTTTGTTCGAATTGGGCAAATATTATGGTGGATTTAAGGTCCACCGTGGACCTACATATGAAAAAAATAAGCAAATTCTTACTACCTTGATTAGCATTGTTTTGTAAATAAAAAATAGAAAAAAAATGAAAAAATTACTGCTGGGTACCCTTAATTTTGTGATAAGAACTGCCAGGTCCAATGTTTTTTAAAATATACTCTGGGGTACCTTAAATTATCCGAAAAATTACTAGGAGGTGACATTCCGTCCATGCCGCCGTTAGTGTCTCTCCGTTATCTTTTTCTTCTTCTTTCTTGTTTCTTTCTCTCTTTCTTCTTTTTCTCTCTTTCTTACACCAGCCCCCCCACACCTTCCCAATCCCCATTAGAGACCAGCGCCCCCCTTCCTCCTCATTTTTTTACAAAGAGTCTAGTAGTATATTTTTTTAGAAAAATAGCAATACTTATTATTATTATTATTATTATTATTATTATTA